TCATCTCAAAAGCATAATGAATGTACTGGCATTTTTAATGCACTGACCTATGCAACTGTTTCAAACCTATGGTTCATTGATTGATGTAAATTTATTGGACTTAGGCAAATCAAATGAAAGTTTCATAACAGCCTAATGAAACATAAAAATGGTATGGTGAAGCTCTTGTAATAAGATTGTAATTTGCCTGGCGCCATATCATGCTGGCACTGAGAGAAACTAAAAGGCACGTGCTTGTGCAAGCACACAAAGAGCAGCCTTGACGAGATCAGTGTGCCATATCAGGGTGTGAAAGCATTGGCCTGCTACGGTTCGCAAGAGAGAGTGTGGCCTTGAAGTGAATTAGCAGAGGGACAGGCACATTTGTTCGGCCCTTAGTCATTTCAGTCCAGGCAACGTGTGTCTGAACAAGATGTAAACAACTCAAACAACAAGCTTCATAAAAGGCACTCTCAGATAAAAAAAATCGCAAGCCAGTGCCACACAGGTGCAATCTGTGTAAACAGGGGGCTGGAAGACAAGAGCCATTTTTTAACAAACACAGATTGAGTATTTTGTCATCTCTCTTTAGTTACTTCCTTCTACAATGCCTTTTTACCCCCTGCTCACCAATCATGCTTGCTACCTATGCCATGCATGGCTCTGCTGTGCTTTCCTTCTTTCCTTCTTTCTCTACCCCTGCTCACCAATCATGCTTGCTACCTATGCCATGCATGGCTCTGCTGTGCTTTCCTTCTTTCCTTCTTTATCTACCCTCCTTTCCTTCCTCTTCAGCCTGATAGTGAGTTTCATTGGCAGATGAGGAGTGGCCAATAAACTCTGCGCTCCGCTACAGGGAAAACCTGAACGATATCGGCCATTTGCTCCTGGTAGAGCAAACGAATGGCAGGGTGCGCTAGCGCGTATCTGCCTGCTTTCAGAAGCACTCGGTGTTTTGCGCAGTTTTTGCCTTTGCAGGCATGCGCCTAGACAATGGGCGTGCTTTGACAGTGCATTCTATTGGTCTTATGCTATGTCACACGCAGCACATAGGTAAAGTGCTTGTGCCTTCTGGACAGATTTGTAGCTCTTTGTGGAGTAGAGAAGGCTGCTCTGTGGAGTGGTTGTGGTTGTGGAAATGCTCTGGATCTGTCAACGAGACATACAGGGAGCACTCTCGATTTGCCAATGGAAAAAGCTTGCTTCGCATGGAGCAGAAAAACTGCTTCCACATGGGCTCCAAATCTGCCAGGGGAATTCACCCTTGCATAACTTACCCTCACTTCTCTTTGCCACCCCTTGCTCTGCTGCACATGGCTATGCTATGGTTTGCCCTCTCATCTCCTGCCCCTCACCTTTACCTCAATAAGGATGCAAAGGTGGTCGAGGCGGTACGATGAAAGAGATTAGTGGAAAAAAATTTGGAAAGCACTTTAGCTTCACCATCAAGAGTACAATGCATAAGCACAATCCCATTGCCTTCTCTACTGCTAGTTTTGCTTAGTTTCTCGAAACACCTCAAGCATGCCACACACATGAAAAAAAAGCGTCTGTGTGCGTAACACTTGCTGTTTTTCACTATCCTGAAATGCACACTGCGAATACAGTTCTTAAGTGGCCACTGTGCCACAATTCTTCCTCTTGAGAATTAGCGAAGGCAACATGCAAACCTACGCAGCTGCTCACTTTGTTAATGTTTTTGCTGCTGCTGATAAACAAATTTAAGTGCTTCGTAGTAGGTGGGCCTTTAAAACATCTGCTCGTATGTTTTGATGCTTGGTGTGATTTTACACTTTCATGCAGTATAAGACGAGTTAAGGAAACTCCTCACTGCATGACATGCATATCCTGTTTTTTTCCAAAGCACTTCCAAGCAAAGGCATGGCTCAGTGGCATAACACCTTGCTTGCCATGCAGAAGACCTGGGTTTGACTCTCATGCAAACTGTGGATTTTATAAATTTATTTTATTTGCATATTTCTCGATTTTTCACTCTCGGACGACACAGATTTCTTGCTCACCACTGACGACATCAATGTCAGTACCGGAATTGTCAATCAATGTCAACACTGCAAAAACGATGAACTTCGATGTTATCTTGTTAAAAGTTCCACAGAAAAAGTGTGGGAAACACTTGATAAGCTATGAAATGGGAGAGCACTTGTCCTGTTTTCTTACGTTCCTTCTATTGTGTCTGCATTTAGTCTTGTTTCATTTCATTATGCAGTCCTCTTCAAGCCCACTTCTTTTTCCTCAGTGGAGTGACTTGTTTGGCAAGTTATTTGATTCTTACGGTAGCTTTTTGCATGAAACAAATACGAGAGACGGACAAGCGCAAACTATCCATAACTGATTTTATTCAAAGGGCACACACATATGCACACACACAGTTACGAGTCACATTAGCAAAAAATGAAATTCTATTAGTGGCAGGCGCTCAAGTAATTTAACTCAGTGGCATGTAACGGGATAGAGGGTCATGCTATGCATGTCTCGTCCAATGTGTCAGTAAAATACGCTTCCTCGATTTCCCACACATCCCTCCCTTTTAATCTTAATCTTGAGAGCGCCTTACTTTCTGATAGCAAGGGTGTGCAGCTGCATTCCTTGCAACATAAAGAAAGGTTAGAACAAGGTGTCCTTCTTAGTGAGCATGGTGATCTAATAATATATTGTCACGATGTCAAAACAGAGGTCTTGCTGCAGTGATAGGGATACTGCTAGCAGGTCAATCTCTTTTTTAATAGAACAGGCAAATTACTTCTTCTTCGTCCTTTCCATAGTCCTTCATAGCACATGCACAACTACTATCGTCTTTCTTGCCGCAAGCACTTGACAATATTGTTCACACACTAATCCGTCTGCCCCACATACCATTTTTCACAAGATAACGGTATATTATATACTACCTTTTTGCCACACTCCACCAATTTCTCACAGTGCTTGTTGACACACCCGTGGTCCTGCTTGCTCTGTCCTGATAACTTCTTACCGACAGCCGCACAAATCCAGCCAAACTTGTCTGCGGAAAAAACCACACTGCATTTGAACCTCTCATAAACTTGATTCAACTTATGGGGAAACCACGTGAAAATATGGAATGCATAAAAAAGTGTCCCTGCCTTCAAGTAAATTGCTAAATAAAGCGGAAGGAAGGGACACTTTTTGTGAGCATTCCTTATGTTCATGGGGTTTTTTATGCTGCTGACAAGCTTGACTGGATTTGTGCTGCTGTGGGTAAGAAGTCAGGACAGAGCAAGCGGGACCATTGGGGTGACATCAAGCACCGTGATAAATTGGTTGAGTGCGGACACCATTATCTTGTGAATGCTATGTCGGGCAGACGGGTCAGTGTTCGAACAATAGGTTATTAGATCGTAAAGCTTCATTGAGAGGGACACCTTGTTGTAATCTTTCTTTACATTGCAGGCAGTGTGGCTGTGCACCCTTGCTATCAGAAACTAAGGAGCTCTGAAAAATTAAAGGAAAGGTTGCGTGAAAAATTGAGAATGATGATGAACAAACTTCGTTTAATTAGTAGAAAGGTCCTCCTCCCCTTTCAGGTGCAGGGAGAAGTACCCAACCTAGATGACGGCAATGATACCATGGGCCTTGGCGGCGCCTTCAGCCTGCCGTAGTAATGGCTTGTAATTGCTAATCAAAGCTGAGGAGAGCAGTATCCCATCCACTCCCGCCTTGGAATTCGCCTCTCATAGGGGCCTGCAGGCATGCCCATAGAATGTGGCTCAAGTCCGCCCTGTTATTGCAAAATTTATACTTGTCCAAATGTAGTTTCGGCACGCAGCGGCTCATAGTTACTGGACTAGGAAATGTATAGGTCTGAAGGAGGCTATCACTTGTCCTTTGTTCAATGACGAGTGTAAGGGAAGATAAATTTTCCTGCTTAGTCGGTAACACTATGTAATATCTCTGTAAGTGGTCACCTGCTCAAATCGCTGATTGTCCTTCCAGCTCAACCTAGGCAGTCCAGAGGCTTGGTCTGCGAGTCCTCAAGCTGTCTTGTGTGCAGCCTCATTGCCGGTTAAGGAGGAGTGAGCAGGTGCCCAGACTATATCCATTGTTAGCTGGTTTTTGTATCCAGCCAATATTCTTAAGGCTATTTGAGATATTCGCCCTCGTGCAAAGGTTCTCACAGCCGTCTACGAGTCGCTAACGATTTGTGAAGTCGAGGTGGATGCTATGGCCAGTGCAATAGCTGCTTCCTCCGCCTCTTCTGCAAAGCTCGTTCTCACCAAGCTGCTGGCCTCATGATTTCCTTTGTAGGCTACTACTGCTTAGTCATGTTGTCATTTCCTTTGCATTCGGTTGTGTTTACGTATGTTGTTTCAGGTAAATCTTTTACGTTGCTATGAATTTTTTTCGCTCTTTCAGCTATCCTTGCCTGATGTTGGTGGGGGTGCATGTTTTTTTGGTATTAATAAGATTACTAAACATTTCCTGATCTCATACAGGATATCCTTTTTGGTGCCACGTTGAATTGTGTTGTTTATACCTAGTTTCTCTAGTATGGTTCTACCTGTTTTACGATGCATTAGTCGTTCATATTGTGCAATTCTCGGAGCTTGGATAAGCTTTTCTGATGCGTTTTGAAGCCCTAATTGAAGTAATTTTCCAATAGGAATAGTATCTAAAGTTTGATTGCATTTTTGAAAGCTCGTCTAATGATTCTGTCCATTGAGGAAGCGTATGTTATTGACAGATCAGGCGAGACATGCATAGTGAGGCCCTCTATCACGTTGCATGCCCCTGAGTTGGATTACTTAAGTGCCTGGCACTAATAAATTTATTTTTTGCTAATGTAACTCATCACTGTCACTTTGCTCATTTGTATATATGTGTGGCCTTTCGAATAAATTCAGTTGATAGTTCGCACTTATCCGTCTCTCATCTTTATTTACCGCAAGAAGTTCCCTTTCCTGTCACTTCTCAGTGCTACACTATGCATTGCTACATAATGTTTGGCTTGGCTGTAATTCGAGAGCATTGATGTCTTTCTGCAGAGCTCTCCAATATCCAATGTTGTACAAGATGGGGCACTTCCACTAGGAGTGCAGCGGGGTGTCACATCCCAGGTGAGAGGTTAATATAATAAGCCTTGTGCTTAGAGCATTGTGCCTTTCATTTTTTGCATGTTCAGTCTGCCACTTGAACACAGGGACCACCCCTGTACATTACACGCATGCGTGGGATTTGGTTAAAAAGCAAGCTCGGAGCAATGCGCCTTTCAGTGGGTCTGGCAGCACGCTAGCGATGACTTGCTAACGTTCCTCGCTTCTTTCTGATGCAGGTAGTGGAACTCTTATTGCCTTTACGCAATACCAACTAGTCACCGAGCAATCTTGGTGCTGCCGGGCCCACGGCGTATTTGTTCCATAGTGAGTGATTGTTCTCACATGGTACTAAGCCTTGTCTTACTAGCGTGTGATGTTGAATAAAATCGCGGCCGCAACAAAGAAATTCTGGAAGTCTTGAATGAACTGAAACCTGGGCAGATGGTGATATTAGCGCAACTAAAGTTCATCGAAAAGAAATTGGCTGATCATGATAAAACTTTCAGTGAAATTAAAGTCCAAGTCAAACTCGACAAAATCAAGACAGCCTGCGCTAGTATCAATGAGAGGCAGACTGAATTAGAAAAAGCAAATGAGACATGTGCCGTAAATGTGGCACAGATAAATGCACTATCTACTTGGATAAATGGCGCAAAAAATAGATCTAGAAGTAATAACCTTCTTTCTTATGTCAAAGAAACACATCTTGATTCCCCCAAAAATGCCATCGAACATTATAAACAAATATTATACATACAGGTAGAACCACGCGATATCGAGCATGCACATCCCATCGGGTCTTGTCAAACTGAAAAATGCAGGCCTGTAATCGCGAAATTCACTCACCATAAAGAGCGCATCTTATTTTCGGGGGCCGAAATTTAAAGGTACAGGCTATGCCATCACGAGAGAGCTCTCCCCCAGCACGCGCCTTGCGCATAAATGCCTCACCAAATTTGGAAGGGCCTGAAACTTGCGATACGGGTTACATTACGGAAAGCGAACCACGAATGAAAAAACTCACTACTGTGACTACATTTTTAATAGCGTCGTTGCAGAACACCAATAGCCATCATCCAGATCTGGTATTACTGAACCTTCTTTACGGAATCAGCACCTCTCATTTTTACTGGCTAATCGTAGTGTGATCCCCAAACGCGATGCACTGTGCAGTTCAATAGACTCATCTTCATGCGATGTGCAAGAAGGGAAATTTGGGCTAGTTGGTAATAGTCCATTTTCAATAACAGCGATGTGATGCGTTACTATTAACAGAAACATGGCTTTACGCATCCATCGATAATTCTGAGATTCTCCCTTTTTTTCCACAATTTGACATGTTCCAGAAACATAGAGCCGATAACTGGCGTGGTGGTCAAGCATTAATCGCAACTGGAATTTGCATTGTTCATTTGTAAACCTTCCTTCACTACCAGAAATGATTTGGCTTCAATGCACTGCCACACACCCTTACATCCTCATTGATATTTGCTATCGGTCCCCTAGTTCCGACAGTTCATTCACGCCTTGCCTTTACTTCATAAGGTTTAAATACATCGATGGCAAAAAAGCACTGGACCACTCAGGATAAGATACTCTCCTACCTGTTGGACCGTAGTTCCACCCAAAACACCCAAAATTCCAACGATGTGCGGAAGTTCTACAAAGAGCGCAGTGCAGTCGTCGAACATGCTGAGACGTTGGATCACCAGATAAATTTTGAAGCGACGGCCATCCTTGAAAGCGAGCCGAACTGGAGGAGAAGGTTGTTACTCGAGTCAGTGTATACACACAGACTGCGCTCCATGGCAAAACGAGAAAGAGAGAGGGGGGTCATTATCCCCCTTGCGAGTGCTTTGAAGACACCGCTGCTACGTAGCCTCCGCAGTCACCCCTGAGGAAGGAACCAAGTCAGTTTCGAAACGTCGGGTTTCTTTAAAACTTTTGGTTGGCGTCTAAATCATCTCCAATTGATAAACAAGTATCCTAATAGCCCTGTCCTTTTGTTCGGAGATTTTAATTTTCCCACCATTGACTGGTTTGATCCCACTTTTTCATTATCTAACAACTGCCGGGCAAGTGATTTTCTAAACATGGGCATGACATTCGGCTTAACACAGCTCGTCCTTGATCTCATGCGCATCACTGATCACTCTTCCAATGTTTTGGACTTATGAACGTATCATCATAACATCGTGCCTATCACCCTATTGCACGGCTTGAGCGATCACCTAACAGTGCATACCTCATTTTATTGTAGCATATTAAAGAAAAAAAATCTAAAAACACTTATCTTTTATGATAAAGGAGACTATGTTAGGATAAACCGAGAATTAACAGGATACTTTGGCACTTTTGCCGCTAACTTTTCACTAAATTCTCTCAGGTCGTATTGGTTGCTTTTCAAAACAGAGATGCATCGTCTTATACGCATTTACATCCCGACCATTACAATAACAAACAAATAAATTTCTCATGGCCTAATGTATCCCTCAAACGGCTAAACAATAAGAAGTGTCTATTTCGAACCGCCAAATGAGTTAACTGTGCCTCTACATGGCAGAAGTATTACGCAGTACAGAAAGAATATTATAAGCTAGCCATGGAAACTAAGCCAGAATTTTTTTCAACATCCTACCAGCCATGTTACAAACTAACCCCAAGCGATTTTGGAAAACAATTGATCTCTCTCATTTTCATTTCATTTATTGCATCCTTAAAGGCCCGAGGGCATTACATAAGGGGTGGCAACAAATACACTGTGAGGGTGTAGAATTCAATGTGATCAACTTATCCTAAACAATAGTTTTAAATACGCATAATAAAGTTTGGTCCAGAATGACATTACAAACTAATCAAACAATGAACAAAAGAAACTTTTGACTGGGAAAATGAACACAAACAATATGACAAAAAAAAGTTGTACATACAGTATGCTGGTTGGATATATCTACAGCCATGGATTATTGGGTGAAATCAGAGTGGGATTCCAATTTTGCGCGGAATGATGTGCAGACAGGTGTGGTAACTATGGAGTCGGGGAGGCGATTCCAAAGTGTAATTGCTTGGGGGGAAAAGGAGTAGTTCATTGCAGATGTATGGCCGTTGATTGGTGCAATGGGGATAGAATGGTTGGTGCGAGAAGTTCTGTTAAAAGGCTGTAAAAGCTTGTGTCTTGATTTTGGGCAGAAAAAGAAGCTGTGCAGGAGGCATAGGCGTGAGATCAGGTGGCGTGACGCGAGAGATGGTAGTTGGATTGATTGATTTAGGGCGGTGATGCCGATTTCTCTGGAGAACTTGGAGGTTATAAAGCGGGCAGCGCGGTTTTGGACTGATTCTAGTTCGTTAGCGAGATATGCCTGGGATGGATTCCAAGTGGCCGATGCATATTTGAGCTTTGGGCATATGTATGTTAAGTATGCCAGTTTTTTAACGTCAAGAGATCCTGATTTTAGATTACGGCGCAGAAATCCAAGCACGCGCAGAGCGTCTGAGCAGATGGACTGCACGTGCGGCGCAAATGAAAGAGTTGGGTCATGGGCACACCGAGATATCCTATACGATGAAGCCGAATCGAGAGGAAGCAAATTGATAAAGTAGTATGATGAACAGTAGCGCGCTTACGGGAAAATGACATTGATTTGTATTTGGTTAGGTTTAACGGCATTGATGAGCCTTGGCACCATAGCGCAACTGTGTTGAGGTCTTGTTGTAGTTTAGTGCTGGTTTCGATGTTGTGAGGGGGGAGTATATGACACAGTCGTCCGTAAACAGTCGTAGTTTTGTTTGAATGTTTGTGGGTAGGTCGTTTATGAATATTAAAAATAGAAGGGGTGATAAGCCCGCGCCCTGAGGTACGCCTGATAATACGCTAGTTAAAGAGGAGTTATGATTATTAGTAGAGATGAATTGTTTATGGTTAGAGAGGAAGTGTTCAACCCAGGAGACAATATTCGGAGCAATGCCAAGTGAATTAATTTTGCTAAATAATAGATTATGTGGTACGCGATCAAAAGCTTTAGAAAAATCAAGGAATATGGCATCGATTTGAACGTCATCATCCATGCTTTTTATTAGGCCGTTGGTAAACTCGGCCAATTGGATCTCGCATGAGAAGTGCTTTCGGAAACCGTGCTGGTGGTTATAGAAGAAATTCATTGATTCAAGGTGAGTCGCGATTTGAGAAGTTAGTGTGTTCCAGTAATTCATAGGGAATGCTAGTCAGGGAAATCGGGCAGTAGTTTGCTGGATTAGTTCGTTCACCGCTTTCGAAGATCTCGATTATTCGGCCTATCTTCCAGTCGTCTTGAATTTCGCTTGTTTCAATGGACTGCATGAAGATGAGGCAAAGAATCTGACTAACCACTGTGACAGTGTTAACTAAATGTTTGGGGGTTATTTGGTCACATCCTGGGACTGAAGATATCTCAAAACCAGTGATTAGTTTAACGATTCCTTCAGTGTTAAATGCTATTTCGGGGAACATAGCGCTGGGGGAACGGATAGGTAGTCGTGTGGGCTGGGCAGTGTTAGGGGTAGAAAATACAGACGAAAAGTAGTCATTTAAGGCGGTGGCAACGTTTTTTTTGTCTATTGGTTCGCCGTCTGGGTCTAGAAAATCTGTTAGCATATAGATTTTTGTGAGAGCATGTGCCAAAATTTAGTAGGATTTGAGCGGAGGATAGATAGTAGATCACAAGAAAAATATTTTTCTTTGGCTTGTTGTAGTCTCTCAATATATTTTTTGCCACAGTGGTGGTATTTTTCACACGATAAAGGGTTATTGGATTGACTGGCGGTTCTGTAAAGACGTTTTTTTCGATTTAGGAGGCTTTTCAGTTGTTTGTTGAACCAATGATTAATGGAATCCTATTTTATGCGGGTGGTTAGAATGTACTCTTTTTCTAAATTTAGTATTGTTTTTCGAATATCTGCCAGTTGGCGTATACTGAGCGGGTGTGACACGATCCGCAAAAACTGTCAAGAAAGGAACCAAGTTTGTCATTGATAGCGTCAAAATT